CCTTCTCCACATTTCTTCCTCATTTTCCACAAAATTATGACAAAAATTGACAACTTCAAAAAACTCACCATGCCTCTTACTAAATACCTCAGACTGTCTACTTCCGAAAAGTGGTAATTTGGGGGGTATTTGTACTATCCTTGCATTTTTGGACCTCAAGAAATGAGATAGACCTTCAGTACATCAGGACTGATTGATTTTCAGATATATACCATAAATAAGAACGAAAAAAAAAAAAAAACGCACTACGGCTATGTTTACTTCTGCCTGGCAGTACTAGTGTTGTCGGTTCGAATCCCAACCACTGTGATACCTGCCTGGAGTTTGCATGTTCTCCCTGTGCCTGTGTGGGGTTTCTCCAGTTTCCTCGCACACTCCAAAGACATGCTGGTAGGTTAATTGGATCCTGTCTAAATTGGTCCTAGTATGTGTATGTATGAATGTGAGTTAGGGACCTTAGATTGTATGCCCCTTGAGGGTTAGGGACTGATGTGAATGTACAATATATATGTAAAGTGCTGTGTAAATTGACAGCGCTATATAAGTACCTGTAATAAATAAAATAACATAGTTTGTGGACTCTATAACTGTCCTACAGACTGAATAGTAAACATTGATTTGGGTTATTTTCACCAAAGAAATATAGTAGAATACATTTTGGCCTACATTTCTGTAGAAAGATTATTTATATGCAAAATTTTGTAACAGAAATGAAGAAAAATGAGAAAGGAAAGTGTTTTTTTCCCCAAAATGTTCAGTCTTTTTTCATTTATAGCGCAAAAAATAAAAACCCCAGTGGTGATTAAATACCTTAAAAAAAATCTTTATTTGTGTGAAAAAATTGTAAAAATGTCATATGGGTACAATGTGGCATGACAGCACAATTGTCATTCAAAGTGCAACAGCGCTGAAAGCTGAAAATTAGCCTGGGTAGGAAGGGGGTAAAAGTGCCTGGTACTTAAGTAGTTAAAAGTACACTCTAACCAGAATACGTTTTACTGTTTCAGGCACCATTTGACTTCATAGGGACACACACCTACTATATGGGCATATTTATTGTTCTAATTTATGGGTTAAGTTAGCATCAAATTGATTTTTATTCTATTATATTCTACTACACTTTCTATTCATTAGGAGTCTCAATCTATGCCTGACTGCTCTTATATATGTAAATAATTAACATCAAATGAATAAATAGATCTCTTCATATCTTGTCGTTGTCCAACAATCAATGAACCATTATCACTTCATCGTTAAAGTGGTTGTAAACCTCAAACATGGATATGAAAAAGCATATCCTTCTATAGTGTGTGCTTGTCTCAGTCCAGAGCACTAAGGCTTCACATTTAGGCATTTTAACTTGCAGGCAGAATTGCCGCGATTCTGCCCTCAACTTGAAATCGTGCTGGGAAAATGTGAAATTGTGCATTTGTGTGTTCTCTAAAAGAGGCAGTATTGGGTGGTGGGGGGGGGGGGGGGAGGCAAGTGGTGGCTCAGAAGGGAGGAATACCAGCACCTATATGTCTGAGAAAAAAGTTGTGGTTATCACCCTCGACTGTTCTCCTGGCATGGACTGCAAAAATGTTTGTATTTCTTATTCTCCATTACTTAGGGGACAGGGTATTTGGTAGTTTACAGAAGGTTGCTAGAAGATAGCTTGGAAGGAAGATATTCTTCAGTGCAGCTCACAGGAAGTGACAAGGACACTGCATTTCTAGAGGTTTTTGTCTGTATCTGCTGAAAAAAAATGAAAACTAATGCAGCCTACCCATCTACAGCAAAGATGGTAAGCTGCATTATCCCTTACGGATAAGGAACATTCTTATGAGGACAGAGAGGTGCACATTTTAGGCAGAAATGACAACTGGTTCACAAGAGGCATAAAAGAAGCCATCTAGTTAAACATTATTTGCCATATTTTCAGATGAAAGATCCAGTGTGTACTACCAAACATAGTTCACTTCAATACTCACTTTAACCAAAAACTTTCATTGTAATCTTTACCTAACCTTAGGAAATTTAAACAAAGGGATAGACTTAACACTGTGGGTTCCCCCCTAAAACTCGGGCCCTTCAGATTAAGTATGGAGTTTAAGGGAGAACCAACAGAAAATAGGCATTTGCACCCCCCCCCCCCCCCCCATTCCATTCCAGACCCTTTGGGTCTGATAAGGTTCATAAAGCAGAACCCTATGTAAAAACAAGAGAAAAGCATGGGGTCCCCCCAAAAAAATCATTGCAGACCCTGGTATGCAGTATGCATCCTGACTTGCTGGCCATCCCCTCCTGAACCATATCAGGTCATATTCCCTCAACAGGCTTCTTTTGTACACTATTCCTCTGTTTACCTTCATCTGTCACCCAGTCATCCTCAGACTGTGCCAGGCAGGGATGAGCCACTGGTTTTAAGGTAGCTGGTGGATGCCTGCTCCCCAGTAACCAGAATCCCTTAACCACATGCCGCCCACAGAGAGCTGAATGCCAGCTTCACTGTGGCCGACCAGTTCTGGAAGGGTGTCATGTGACGTCCTCCCAGAACGCACCCTCCTGCACACCCCAGGAGGTGCGCCCCCGGCGATCTCTGTGATCGCTGTGTGCTACAGACACAGCTGATCACGTGATGTGGTAAAAGGCCAATCATAGCGGCCTTTTACCACGTGATCAGCCGTGTCCAATGACACAGAAGATCAACGGTAAATGCAGTTGCCTGTTATTGGCTGCACTTTCCTCACGCTGTCACAGCGTGAGGAAAGTACTGCCGATAACCAACAATTGTCAGAGGAGGGATTGGCACCGATGATCAGTGCACTGACGATCAGTGCTCAGCAGTACCACCCACCTGTGCCCAGCAGTGCCGCTCACAAGTGCCCAGCAGTGCCACCCACATGTGCTCATCAGTGCCACCCACATGTGCCCATTAGTGCCACCCACCTGTGCCCAGCAGTGTCACCCACCTGTGCCCAGCATTACCACCCATCAGTGCCCAGCAGTGCCACCCATCAGTGCTGCCCATCAGTGCTGCCCAGCAGTGCCACTTATCAGTGCCCAGCAGTGCTGCCAGTCAGTGCCATCAGTCAGTGCCACCTATCAGTGCCCATCAGTGCCGCCTATCATTGCCCACCATTGTTGCATATCAGTGCCAGCGCATCAGTGCTGCCTATCAGTGCCCATCAGTGCAGCCTAGCAGTGCCCATCATTGTTTCATATCAGTGCCCGCTCTTCAGTGTCTCCTATCAGTGCCCATCAGTGCTGCCTATCAGTGTCTATCAGTGCTGCCTATAGTTCCCATCATGGTTGCATATCAGTGTCCATCATTGTTGCATATCAGTGCCAGCTCATCAGTGCCACCGATCAGTGCAGCCTCATCAACACACATCAGTGAATGAGAAAAATTACCTGTTTGCTAAATCTTATAATAGAAACATAAGAAAAAAAAAAAATTTTTCAAAATTTTTGCTCTTTTTTTGTTTATAGCACAAAAAATAAACCACCCAGCAGCAAATACATAACACCAAAAGAAAGCTCTATTTGTGTGAAAAAAATTAAACAAATTTCATATAGGTGCAGTGTTGCATGACCGCACAATTGTCACTCATAGTGCGACAGAGCTAAAAGCTGAAAATTGGCGTGGGCATGAAGGGGGTATAAGTGCCCTGTAGTCAAGTGGTTAAGCAGGAGGCTGTCACATTTAGCATGTGGCAGTAGTACTGCTGGTAAATGTTCTACTTTACACTGCAGCTGGAGGGTCACTAGGCTGAAAACCCATTTTTTTCAGCCATTCTCATTCACACAAGAATCTCCATAGACTGTGTGCACAGTACAGAGGTCTCCGTCATATTATTTCCCATTCAGGTTGAATGTTCTTATCCTAAAGTGTTAGGCTATGTTCTCTTTTGGTCAAATGTTCTGTGAAGGAGAAGTACAGCCAAAGCTCTTTTGGATCACATGAGTGCAGTTCATTCTGTACTCCTGTGACATATATTTTCAGCCAACAACGGAGTAAAGCTTGCTGTCAACTTATATCACTCAGCTGATCCAGGCTGGGGAAAGATCCCGACTTTAAAGTCGGGATCCACCTCAGAGAGTCTGAGCCAGCTGCTTCCTCCAGTGAGCGCTGGGGGTGGGCAGAGCAGGCAGCAGTGACTGACAGTCACCACTCTCTGCTCAGAGCAGCTGTGAGAACTCAACTATCAGCAATCAGGTGATCGCTGAGTTCTCACACTTGAAGTCAGTGGGGACCAGATGCAGCATCGGACGGATTCTGCATCCGCCTAAGTAAGTATAAATTGGGGAAAAGAAAAAGTCCATACTTCTCTGTTAACTCTTATGGACAACTGTTTTTATTGCTATTTATGAATGTAGTAAATGTTACAAGGCAACAAATAGAAATTGAAATTGTACAGATATTACAAACATTACGGGTAATATTCCTTATTTTTGTGTGAATGATGAGACATTTGCAAAGTAAACATTTTTATACCCTTAACCACTTGCCTACAGGGCACTTATACCCCCTTCCTGCCCAGGCCATATTCCAGCTCTCAGCGCTGTTGCACTTTGAATGACAATTGCGCAGTCATGCAACACTGTACCCATATGAAAATTTTATCATTTTTTTGTGACAGATAGAGCTTTCTTTTGGTGGTATTTAATCACCTCTGGGTTTTTTCTTTTTTCTTAAACAAACCAAAAACCACTGAAAATTTTGAAAAAAAAATTTTTTTTCTTAGTTTTTGTTATAAAATTTTGTAAATAAGTGATTTTTCTCCTTCACTGATGTGCACTAATAAGGCTGCAGTGATGGGCACTGATAGGTGGCACTGATGGGCACTGATGGGCACTGATGAGGAGGCACTGGCAGGTGGCACTGATGGGCATTGACAGGCATCACTGATGGGCACTGAAAGGCAGCACTCATATATGGCACTGATAGGCAGCACTGATAGGCGGCACTGACTGACACTGATAGGCGGCACTGACTGGCGCTATTAGGTGGCACTGATAGGAAGCACTGACGGGCACTGATAGGCGGCACTGATGCACACTGATAGGCGACACTGACTGGCACTGATAGACGGCACTGACTGGCACTGATAGGTGGCACTGATTGGCAGCACTGATAGGTGGCACTGACTGGCATTGATAGGTGGCACAGACTGGCACTGATGGGTGACACTGACTGGCACTGATGGGTGACACTGAAAGGCAGCTCAGATGGGCACTGATATGTGGCATTGATGTGGCACTGATGGTCACTGATATGTGGCATTGATGTGGCACTGATGGGCACTGGCAGGTGGCATGGATGAGTACTGAGAACTGGCACGGATGGACACTGACAGGAGGCACTGCTGGGGCTACACAGATCATCAGGGCACACTGATCATCAGCTAATACTGCAGTCATACAAGCAGTTACTGCAACAGCTTTTAACTTTTGAGATAAAAGGTTTTACACCAATAAAGATAAACTGATCATTGTAGCCACCTCTCTCAGTGGTAAATTGTTTGTCTCAACACTCTAAACTGATACATTTGTAGAAGAGCTTGCTCTGTTGAGAAACAACAGACTTGCTAGCTAGATCACCAGGTAAAAATAAAGAGAAAAAAGTCTAAAAAATAAAACTAATGCAGCCACTACATCTATGGATTGATAATCTGCAATAAAAGAAATGTCTGCTTTTGGGTTTATAAATCTCAAAAGAAACAGCGCTGTGAGAGTGAATACATTTAAACCTCACATCGAGGTGTACCTTTATTACAATCAAGGATCAAAATATAAGGTGGCATGGGCAAGGTAGAGGACCCGTTCGCTCCTTGGGTGTAGCAATGCAGGGCAGAGAAAAGTGCTCCTGTGCACAGATGGTAAGCCACAAGACCGTGGCATCCCGGAACGGATGTCATGGCAATCTTGGAGGAAGTGGAAGGGAAGATCCTGCCTTGGAAATTTATTTCAGGTACTTATATAGCACTGTCAATTTATGCAGCACTTTAAATATATATTTTACATTCACATCAGTCCCTAACCCTCAAGGGGCGTACAATTTAAAGTCCCTAACTTACATTCATACATACATGTACTAGGGCCAATTTAGACAGAAGCCAATTAACCTCCCAACATGTCTTTGGAGTGTGTGATTCAACTGGAGTACCTGGAGGAAACCCACACATGCACAGGGAGAGCATGTAAACTCCAGGCAGGTGGTGCCGTGGTTGAGATTTGAACCAATGACCCTAGTGCTGCCAGGTGGAAGTGTTAACCATTTATCCACTGTGCTGTCTCAATACAGCCCCATCTCCTAACCATAGCCCTCACTCTAATTAATTCTTAACATGAGCCTTAATATATTTATTATCATGTACTATATATATTTATATTTTCTTCTCACAAACAGGTGTGTACTCATCACAGTGGCATGCTCTGGTTAAATATCTGATTAAAGAGTCATTTAGTTTAACTATTTGGTCAAAAATGACATACTCTCAAGATAAATGATTCTAATTCTCAGTCTAAGTCACATTTTGTTCTAAATGATTGTATGCCTGCTCAGTCAAGAAGGGCTCCACTACATTACCCTATATTACACATCAATAAAAGCTTCTACTAATGCTAGTCATTAATCTAGTGTTGGAAGTATGTTTGTACTAGACCTTGTGCTATGTTGTACCCTACCCTTCGTGGGTTGACTGTCTGTGTATGTCTCTAGGGAAGCTCTGTCATTAAGAATATGTCCATCTTTGTTAAATTTTAAATGAGGATGAAGCTTCTTGAATGCACCAGGGATGTCACAGTGTCTCATCTTTGCTTCCTGGGAGGGTTGTGTACAGGGGCGGACTGACCATTTGGAAACTCAAGCACTGCCCGAGGGCCGGGGGTCAGTAGGGGGCCCCATGAGATGCCCCTGGTACCTTTTTCATAGGCTTTTTTGAGTTGGGGCAAGGACACAGGGGCCCCATGATCCCCTATTGCCCAGGGGCCCCATGAGTTGTCAGTACGCCCCTGGTTGAGTACCCCAAATACCAGCAGTATGCACTCCAGCACTGTGCAGGAACTTACCATCACAGGGTTTGGAGTATTCAACTTGCCGAGAAAGCAGTGCTGACACCACTGGTGCCTATAGTAAGCAAATGAAAACCCAGGTCCAGAGTAAGTATTTTTGAATCAGCTTGACGCGATCATGCAACTGAAAATCAGCTGTGTGCTCCCAGCCTAATCTCTAAGGCTTCATGTACACAAGCAGCTGCTAAACTCGACAGGCATTTTTTTGCCAAAGCTCCTAAACGCAACTCCATAACAGCCTATGTGTCCATGTATACATAGGCTTTTAGCAGAGTTTACGAGCTGCTGCGTTTAGGTGAGGTTAACCATCCTCTCCTGAATGCAAAAGAATCAGGGTAGGAAGGCTTTGACCACTGGCCGTGGGAAAACCCCAAAACATAGTGAAAACACAACAAAAATGCTGTACTGTGGTCGCCACGCTTCTACTGCGTTTTGCGTTTCCCAGTGGCCGGAGGTTAGAGTAGGCTCGTGTACATGAAGCCTAACAAAGGGACAGTGTCTGTACTGTCTAATACAAAGTTAGCCTCTAGAAGGAGTATCCACAAATTCACATATAAGTCCTCATGAACACAGGACATTTTTACAGCTGCTGTTTTTGGCTTCTGGTGTTTTCTTCCTCCCCAGCATGTTGTCCTGCACACATAGGCATTAATCAGCGGTTTTTGGCAAGAGCATTTTCTGGCTGGAAAAAAAACCCAGAACTGGGTTTCAAGAAGAGTTTATTAGCTGTAAAAATTGCTCTAACACTGATAAAAGCTGAAAAATGGTAAAAAAAAAAAAGGTGGCTATCCAGCAATTATAAGTGTTTTTGGACCTGAAGAATTTGTGGGAGTATAACTTTGCTAAAAGACGCAAATGCTGAAAAACACTGAAAAAAGGTAATGCCAAAACGTTTTTATTGCAGCATTCTACAGCTACTGGTGTTTTTATAATGTCCAGTGTGCATGAGGCCTAAAACGCATTCATTAAAATATACAACACAAAGCAAACACAATGTTAAAGTCACACCAAAAATTACTTTTTAAACAGGTCCAGGTCCAGCTTTATATCTCCCACCAACCCTGCCCAAATGGCTACAGTTGACTGTCCTTTCTCCTGACTGAACAGGGCTTGTGTAATGGTTGTGAGCACCTCTGAGCCCGGAAGTACTTTCAGCTGTAGCTGCATAATTACACGTACCAAGTGGGACTGTCCTTGACAGCCTGGGTCCACATGATGTTGGTTGGATGTTGCTGGTTAGCATTCAACCCAAAAGACATGGACACTTTAGCCCAAAGTAGTATTTCTATAAAGAGGGATGGGGATAGTATGTGCACTGAAGTTAAAGCTGCATTTTTAATTTTAAAATAAATGAAAACTTGTATTTAAAGATGTTTACCCACTGAAAGCATACAATGAATTCCCATGGGCACATGTGGGTTAAATGTCAATTTATTGTCCACTGCTTTCGCCTATTATAATCTCACACTTACTGACAGAGACGTGAGACTTCTGGGAGCCACCACTATATTAAATTAAATAACACATTAAGTGCTTTATGGAATGTGGTATTATCCATTATTTCTATCTTCAGAAATAAAATGACTTATCCTATAGGGATTTATTATCATAATACATTTGTTGAGAATACAATTTTCTTCTTATACTGTTGAAAAAAGGTAGTTAAATGTGTGACAAGGCAAATTAGATCTTCTAGTCAAATGTTTGCAGTCAGAAATATATTCCCATAAAGTAAGAACGGCACTGAAAATGCTTTCAATTAATTTAGAGCTAGTCATCTATGAATGTTGTACTAAAAAAGGCAAATATATAAAAGTATTAACCATGCACAGCATATCACAATCTATAACACTCCCGCTACAAAGCGTTACCTTCCAGTATAATTAAAAAATTGAAATAGTATGATAATTAAAATAAAAACATTTATTGAAAGCCTTTTTATTTTAAAAAATAGGCTCTTAGTCACTCAGATATAAAATAGATTATGTAAAAATTTGAATTAATACATTACAAAAATAGAAAAGCAACAAGCAAAGAATTTTTAAGAAAAAAATAAGTTAATATTGAAATAACCTTTTCTTTTTCAGTTCAGTTTTGAAAGATGCTATTCAGTAAACTCTCCTAAATGTGGCCATGACATCTGGGAACAGCTGTGAAAGCACAGTTCCACTTTCCAGAGATATATTTTGTCTGATTTTTAATCAATATATGTAAGTTTAGGTGATATTGTGTTGAGAGATGCAGACAGGTATCTTTTGGTAGCCACCTTATCTCAGGAAAATGACTATTCAGAGGTGTCTTCCTTTGCTCATACATATCAGGTTGTCATCCATCGGGACCCTATATTTCTTATTTCTCTCAGGAATTTAGCCATTTAGATCTCCAGGCTTGAGTTTCCAGGTCAGTATAGTTGCTCAGACAATAATAAGGCAATACCAATCTTTCTGGATTTTTAATTAAATGATTTACATTTCTAATTACAGTTTGAGAACTTGTAGTGCTCCAGGAATACTTTATTATGGGTGCATATATAAAAGTATAAAGTTACTTATAAAAGGTCCTATACAAAAGTATTATTTTTAGAACAAAATCGCAGTAAAAAATATACAACATATTTAACTTTAAGTATGAATTAAAATAAAATGAACCCATAGCTTTCCTCTGATGGTAAGAAAAGTCTATGCCTTCTTTAGGCTAGGGCCATTGCGGCATGTTTCTGTTACTTTGTACTTGCATGCACATGCACATTTGCCATGTGCCAGGTTGTTTTAAAACTCTGCTTGCATGAACACCGAAAGAGGGTTTCATGGCAATTACTACTACATCTTCTTTAAGGTAACTTTTAGGAACTTGGAGCACAACTTGCAGCACAAGTGAACCAAATATTTAACAATTCAATGATAGTTCTAACCTAGATTTAGTTGCAACTTAAACAGTGAGAACAATTACTGCATAGATTTCATGTTACAAATTCATGTGTTAGTCCAATATAACACCAGACAGTAGCCAAAGGGCACCAATAATCAACTTAGAAATATGTGTCTTTTGTGAGGCTGTAAAGGAGGATAATGTGAGAGAGTGTAAAGATGGAGACCCAGCAAGAGGGAGGTTTAGTAATGGAGCCTTGGTCCAAAATTACACATAGACTCATCAATCTGAAGTTACCTTTTCCTGTAAAATCACTTCCCTTTACTTGTCTTTAAATAGCAGACTTCTTTTGCATAAGCACCTAATGATAATAAAGTTTTAGTTGAAAGACAAAATACTACTTTTAATAAAATTAAATATA